GGAGGGCGGGTCCAATCGACAGCCCGGAGAAGCAGTGCCTCAGCTGGGAGCTGCTCGTCGTTGTCCGCTGGGGGCTGCAGAAGACACAGAAACCTGGGCTGCAAATATAAGAAAGAGTCACGGTGCTTGGGGAAGGAAACAAGGCTCTCCTTTAAAAGCGCCCGGCCCAACTCGCATGCAATCGACCGCTGACAGAGTTTTACTTGACTTTTGTGATGCGTTTGGTTTTAGTTTTCTATAAGATTAATTTTTTTGCAGCTTTCAACACATTTGACCTTTCAGAGAGAAATCTAGTTAGTAGATTTATAGTTCCGTAGACTTTTGGTATATTCCTTGCATTCGCGACAGGAGAAAGTGCATCCTTGGGGCCGAGCAGGTCTCTCCTCCTCCAGAATCGTGCTCGGCCCCTGAGCTGACCACTCAGCAGTGGCCTCTGCCCCAGCGGCTCCAACTTAACTGTCCCCATCTCACCTTCTCTTCAGGTGCAGAACTTAGCCACTGTGAACAAAGCGGAAACCAGTCACTGTTCACCAATCAGCTAAGCTCTGCACCTCGTCAGAGAGGTCGTCGGCTGGGCTTAATGAAAGGGCCGGTGAGCGTCTTCCACGGTTGCTGGCTTCTTCTGCTTCCAGACAAGAGCTACGCGATGCGCCTGTTCTCCAAACTGCAGAGAGAAAGTGACTATGGCTTCTGGAGGAGCAGCCAAGGTCGTGGTTGCGTGGTAATCCCTGGCAATGTGATTTTAATCTTAAGTCACAAATCAGCATGCCAGGAACCCAAGCAGCCAGAGCACTCTGGAGCCGCCGTGCCTGCACGCTCACAGCCCACCCGCACGCGCCGGGGTCCTCGGACACGAGGCGATGACACCAGCTCCAGGCCTGCTGTGCTACCGAATGGGTTTTATTCTCTTGTTGTTCATTTATTTTACATCCCAGAGGTATAACTTTTTAAACAAAGGACTCAGAGATAACCATACAAATGCCAGTGCAGTTCTGGGACGTGACACTGAAAAATGCACCGACTAGACTGTGGCAGAATTAGTGAAGAGACGGCTGTCCTTGCCTTCAACCCTTAGGGCACAGATTCTAACTGGTCTGAGGGGTGTGGGTGTGTGTGGGTGGTGGGGCTCTCAGGCTGGGAAGGATCCCCAACTGCTGGAAGTACAAGTCACTCATCTTCACTGAGAAAGTGGGAGTGGGGATCGGGGGCATGCACGTGACCCCCAGTTCACTTGGAACGGACAGGAAGAACAATTTCAGAGGAGAGGGGAGAAAACAGCGGACTCGTCACCAGGGCCAGTCCTCTGCCTGGGGTGAAAAACTTGCGAGTCATGAGAGCTGTGTGCCCGCTGTGGTTCCCACAACTTGGAACACAGGGACGGAGCTGTCTGGTCTGCTCAGCGTAGTTTCACAGACTTCAAGAAACACAAACTCTCCATGAAATTAAACATCTAAAGAGACATATGATTCATACTGATTACTGTGTGAGGCTGGCAACAAGGTAGCTATGTAACAGCTGTTTTTTTAAACTGGCCCATCTGTGATGAGGACCTGGGGCTGGCCTGGGAGGTGGGGGCGGTCTGGAGAGTGTCTGCACGCGGCTATCTCGCCACGAGAGGGACAATCACTGCCACTAGTGCCACTACTTCCTCTTCCTGGCACATGTGGTTCCTTGGCTCTTCTGGAAGAACAGGATCATACTTTAGAAAAACTTTTTTTCTCTTCTCAGTACTAAAGTTCTTTCAGATAAATAAGATACTTAAACATACTAGACAAAAATGGATTTTCTAGAGTAAAATATTAGAAGCAAACTAATGTCCAACAAGAGGTTAAGAAGGCCAACACGAAATATTAAATATCCAATAGAATTGTATTCATAGAGAAGCTACATAACATGAAAAATAGCTTGAGATTTGATGTTAAGCTTAAAAAAAAATTACAAAATTAGACATACCCTATTATAGCATGTAAAACTTTGCAGAAAAGCTGAGAAGACACAGAAATGATCATTGTTAGAGCAAAAAATACACTTATAATGCCACAGTTCTACATTAAAACTTTATATACCATTGCTAAATTACTTTTAAAACTCAGAAACCTACATTTAAAACCTAACTGCTAGGATGTAAATCTAGCAGGTCGATTACAAGCACAAGCAATTAACAGAAGCAGCAAAGTAATTTAGGACCTCCATCGCTATGTACGCCAAGGCGAGCTTCCGCTCCAGCGCAAGGTAAACTGCAAGCCAGCCTGAGACATGTGGTGTGGAGGCGTGTGTGGCACTGGGGCGGGAGGACCTCCTGCCAGCCTCCTAAGGCAGGCGGGGACACCCTGAAGAACCTCAAGTTCTCGTGGAGCCCAGGAGGACAAAATGTCTGCGTGTAGCTCAGGGTTTGGAGTAACCTGGTAATGTGCCCCTGTGTCAGCCTTCACCTCGAAGACTAGGGGTCAGCACTTCCATGGGGCTTCCCAGGCCACCTTCTAACCCAACTCGAGATGTTCTCCTCCCCTGACTTTTGTTCCTACAAGTAAAACCGAACTGGCCAAAACAACGCCGAGGAGAGTCGTCCTGCCTGGGGTGGGCCGCCTCTGCTTTCTGGTGGCCACTCACCAGATGAGTGCTGCAGGGACTCAGCCTCATGAGGCCAGCAGGCACCTTGCTCTCCAAGGCCACCAAGCCACCCGAGGTGGGGCGGAGGACTGATGCTGTAGGTGCTCTCGGCTCACCATTTGACTACTGATTTGGCTCCTATGGGAAATCTCTGGTAGAAACAAACAATGGAGAAAGGAAAAGGAGGGAATTACCTCTTAAAATAACATCTCGGCCACCACCTGAGCTGAGCATCTATCCATTTGCTCCTTGGTCAGCTCAAAGCAGCTTCGGGCAAGCTGCTGCTGCCTGGCATCCTCACTCACCATCAGCTCCCCGTAGAGATATACGCCCATGGCCTGCGGGGAGGAGCGGGGTGGGTAGAGGGTCTGAGAAAAAGAAAACATGCATCCACACGTGCATAGTCTGTGCTGGTTTCACACAAACTTGCTGCTCTGGAAATTACAAAGACTAGAAGAGAAAAGACAGTTGAACAGCTGTACTTTAGGAACCTGAAGTTTTCAATCCCCATCTCTTTCTAGTTTTCACTGAAACTCCAAGGAATTCTTATCAGCTCCGTCAACAGAACCCTAATGATTTCACTGGTGACAAAGTGATGATACAGTGAACATTTCTCCAGTGACAACATGTCAGGATCGCTCTGGACAGAGACAGAAGGGGTCCGATAACAAGCACCACAGAAGCCTGTGCAGCTGAAGGAAGCACCGAAGGGCTGTGCCTATGTCACAAAGACACAGATCTTCTCCCAGCAAGGTGTGTCCCTGGGTGTTGCTGGGAAATGAAGACCGCTATGCCACATGGCAGCCACGGGTGGGAAGGATCACTGCGCCACTGGGAAGAGCTGCCTGCCGCTCCAGCCCAGCCTGACCGTGTTCCCTCAACCACCCCGCCCTGACGGCGAACACTGGCCCTTCTGTTTCAAACACAACGCTGCAAAGACTCACATCTACATAACTGGCTGTTGTTAAAACTGTAGGAAAAATGTTCTGGAAGACCAAAAGACCCCTTTGGTTCTGCCTTCTCTCGTTCCAAGCTTAATTATGCCATGGATTACATTCTGTTAGAGCAAATTAAAAGAAGGATCTCACAGATAGCGCAAGACAAAAACTTGGTCTAGTTGCAGTTCAAAAATTCTTTCCTGAAAAGGCTGCGATCTGGTCACCCTTATTTGGCAAAGACCATGGTTCTAAGTATATTGCAGTTAATTTTGGTTTTCCAAATAAATCTTAAGCTTCTCTTGCATTTTGTCCTTTTACTCCCTCCCATGTTTCCAAACACCTCCTGCTCTCCTGTGCAAATGTGACATTTCTTCTGGTACAAAGTCATGTATTTTCCTCTGTGGGAATACCGAGCCCTTACTTGCTGGCAGCCCCCCCATACTTGGGCCCTTTCAAAAGTCCTTTTGTTTGCCCTCGCCCCACTCTCCGCCCCAATGAAACACGGCTCCATTCTGTCAGCCCACAGTGCTCGGCAGCGAGCTCGCTCACGGCACACAGTGGTCCCGCCAACGGGGACGAGCTGCAGGCCGACTTCCAGCAGCAGACAGAACCCATGGCACATGCACTGCCATCGACAGCCACGCTGGGACAGGCGTGGCTGGGTGCAGAGGTGGCAAGGAGGACATCCCCGAACGGCCACGTGTGCACATGCTTCCCGCAGGCCCCCTTGGAAGATGACTGCTTTCCCCTGGTGGAACGATGAGTAAAGTTCTCACAGGAAAGACACTCACCACAGGGTCCTGGCCGGCAGGGACAGGCACAGACACAGACCAGACTGTTCAAGCCAACCAGGGCTCTCCCAGTCTATTCTTCACACATACTTTAGATGGGGGCCAAGTAAAGACACAGACATGGCAGCACCAAGCTACAACCTTGATCTGAGGTTTGGCGGCGCTGTGCTGTCGGCGAGTTTCGCTTGGTACAGCCGTGGGCCACAGCAAGGTCAAACCAAGGGCACCTCGAAGGGGCTTGGCTCAGTGCTAAAGTGACACCGAGAGAGGGAAAATCAGCTCAAGAGTGGGGCAGGTAAGCGCCTATCCACTTCCTGAAAATCTCTGGAAAATGTTTAAATATTTGTTATAAAAGAGGTCTACAACTTGGCCCCTGCGTTAAGGATACGGGATAGTCAGGGGACAACATTTAGAGAACCCCGTCAGCCGAAAAGTGAAACTTACTTGATCCTCCTGAAGGAATCTCTCCACATTTTTGTACGCTTTTGTGTACTTGTGCTTAACAATGAGTTCACACCACCGATGGCGAACCTTAAGAAATGAGAGAAAATCCAGTGAGCAACAAACTCGTAGGTTTTCTTAGCCAAATGAGTTTAATGATCGAGGGCTTCTGTGTTAGAAAAAGTTACAGTGGTCCCCTCATCCTCAGGGGATACGTTCCAATTCCCCGCAAGCAAAACTTTCTCCTTCGCAATTTCACAGAAGGTTCCTTCTTGCCACAGACCTTAGCGACCTGGGTTTATTTTGCCTTTCCTTATTAGGTCAAGAACGTTCACCTTTGCACTTAAAGTAAGTACTTTATGGCTTCTCTTTGGCATATCCGAATTCTCAGTATCACTACTCTTGTCTACTTCTGGGCCATCATTAAGTAAAAGGAGGATGACCTGGACACAAGCCCTGTGAGATACTGTGACAGTCGATCTGATCGCCGAGGCGGCTACTTAGTGACTAAAGGGAGGGGAGCATACACAACATGGAGACACCGGACAAAGGGGTGAGTCATGTCCTGGGCGGGACAGAGTAGGATGGAGTGAGATTTCATCATGCTACTCCTAACAGCACGCAATATAAAACTTAAGAATTGTTTATTTCTGGAATTTTCCATTTAATATTTTCAGACTACAGTTGACAGTGAGTAACTGAAACCACAGATAAGGGGGGACTACTGTATTCTCTAAAGTATATTAACAATGTTGATATTTTTAAGTTTCGTTTCAGTTTTCCTTTACAAAGTTCCTTTATAACAGGAGGATTGTTAGTCAACTTTAGGGGAGAAAAGTGCATATTTCAGCTAGCTGTTCTGGTGTTTTTCAACACAAATTTGAAAGATAAAGGTAAACACAAAATGTAACTGGGAAATTAAATGCGCATCCTAAGGCAGCTGGTGCTGTGCCCTACAGTTTGCTGTCAATGAAGGTTTCCGACCGTAACTACTTAATTTCCTGAAATAACCAGTATGGTTCGATGCTGTCCATTTTAACAATAAACACAGTAAAGCAGAAAAACACTGCTTTTCACATTCCTGAGAAGACGCAAAGTGTGCCTTCTGAGGAATTTTGGGGTGTCTGCCAGAGGGGAAAGGAAGACCGCCTTGATGCAAGTAGCTCCTGCTGCAGGTTTGTACAACATACTAGAAATAGGCAAGCTAAATCTGGATGCTGTTTAGTGAAGATACACTTTACTGAAGATATACCAGCAGTTATTTGCCAGGAACACCCGCCCTACACATACACACAAATACCCCTATAGACAAAATGGAAGTCTGATCCCAGCACTGGCTGCCTCTGATGATAGAGGCAGAGCTCCCAGCATCTCTCGACACTTGAGACACATTCTTTACATGGAAATTCTACCTGAATTTGGTTTTCAGAATCCAGTTTCAGGCCATTTTCTACTTGCGTCAAAACCCTCTCAGTTACGCCCATTTTAGCAGCCTACCATTTTATATTCCATTGTCAGTTCAACACCAGCCATACATGGAAGTGATTATGTGTGTTTGAAATAGCCTCTTTCCATCACTCTTTATTTTTACTGCCTTTGAAAGAGGGAGACCTTTTAAAGGACTCCATTTGTGGCAATAGTAAAATATAAGCAATTTCATCATTTTGGTTGGGGCCCCTATAAATTATATCATTACCCAGTGACCAGGCCAGATCTCTCCTGTAATCTGCTCTAAATGGATTTATATGCCAACAATTAGGAATGAAGGAAAGAAACAAATCTTTTGGAAAGAATCCTTCCCCAAGGCTGGAGTGAGCTCCCGGACAGGGTGTTGATTTGGGGACTCTGGTGGCCCTGCCCTCTGCTTGTGGGCAGCCAGGCCCTTTGCACTTGTAAGGACAGAGTACCCAATCAATTTTTACATCCCTGAAGGAATTTCAGAGGTGCACGGAAATGAGCTAATAGCCTCAGACCATCACATCAACAAAAGGGAAGAAGCCACTCAGACTGGTCGGATCTCGAAAGTCTTTCCATCTTCAATAAAATGTTCTTTCCTATACAATCAATAGAAATTAACGGCAGACCATAAAAGGGAAAGGGCGGCCCCTGAAACATTATGAGCAGAAAGAACAAGTGAAGAGCTCAGAGAAGCCGGCTCCTCATACCACACCAATCTGAGGAAGACATCGGAAAAATCGGATCCCCACTCCCGCGCTGTGGTCCTAGTGCCAAAGGCCACGCAGTGCAGAAACCCAAATGGCTCCCTTGGGTGCCTCTACCTACCCCTTTTGTTTTCTCCCAAGTCACGGTCATCTAAATGCCTCAGACACCACCAGCCCCCGGCCATGCCCCACAGGGGTCTCTTGTTTGTGAGCCCCGAGGGCCGCCACACAGGAGAGACAGTCAGGAGACCAGGGATGCTGCTCTGCCACCTGCTCTGGGCCCTCGGAGAAGAGTCTCACTCCTCACAACTGCACACTGCGAACAGTCTTTGCACCAACTTTTAGTGTGGTCACGTATGGGAAAACTGTCAGCTTCGGAATGTTTGAACGACTTAGATTTATGTGACCTGAGCACACCATGCCTCTGACAATGACTGCTGTTTGTCACTCTAAAACTTGGGGGCAAGTTTATTTTTCAGATTTGACTTTGAGAATGGAGGGTTTAGCTGGTCATTTTTCCTTCCTGTGCTTTCCTTCATCTTATTCACGCATACAGAAATAACAAAGCATATTTCCTAGTAGGATAAGGCCCCCAGAGGGGGCGGGGCAGGAGGCAGGGCGGTCCCACCGTGACTGGAAGAAGGCCCAGGGACAGCCTAGTGAAAGAGGCTCTTTCACAATCGATATGAAGTCAGCATTTCCATTTCTCTTACTGTTAAAAATAGTTTATTGTCACGATTAATAAGAGATCTAGTCTTCTGACCCCTGAAGGCTGACATGGCATCCAGGAAGTACAGACCAACCTCCCTCTCCCCACTCCACGATGAGCAGAAAAAAACAACAACCCTTTTCATTGCAAAAGAGCTCAACTCATTTCAATATTTTAATGACAGGATGTTTAAAAGACATCAGAGATGCTGTGTGAGGCTGAGGGCCCAACAGATATTTCTTGCTCCAGCGCAGCGTTTTCACTTCTCTTAGCATTTCTCTGAGAAACAAAGAAAATCCCTATTTTTTTTACCCCCTAAATTGTTTTTATCACCTTTGAAATCTCCTTAACCACTTGCCATCATATGGAACGGGGGTCTTCCTGAAAAGCAGCAGCAAAGTGACATTTGCCTCAATTTTCTTCAGCAGTATTTCCACCATGGGCACTAATGGAACAGCCCCTTTCTCCAGGTCACTGAGAAACTTAAAAAAATTCTTGACAATCTGTCACATCCTTGTATCAAGCTCCTTTCTCCGCTGGCAGTGGAGGAAAGTGGAGTTCTCAGTGCCGGGGGAGCATGAGCCAAAAGATTTAGAAGCAGATCTCTCAAAAGAGAGCTGCCTGTTCGGCAGATTTTGCTCTTCTTTATTTTCCAACAGGTTAATTAATGGGGGTTAGTGGTCACCTTGTCTTTTAACTTCCAGTGAGATTAAAAAAAAAAAAAAAAAAAACCTAAAACACCGCACACGTCCACAACAAGCCTTCACTCCATCTGCGGCTCCTTGGCTCTGTTCGTCCAGTTCCGTCGCCTCGTGCGTGCACACACAGCCCGTGATTTATCAGTCACACTTTAAATATTCATATTTTATTATACTTCAACTGTGTCTCAATAGAGATGAAAAGATTTAATGACTTTTCAATGGCTCAAATTCACAAAGTCACTCTAAACTCATGCTAGAAATCACTGGAAGCCTGGAGTCAGCAAACATGTTAGCTGAACACCACCAACACGGTCAGGCTGGGCAGACAAGAAATAAGGGGCAAGGACAAGAAAGGGGAAGGAGGCAGGGAGAGACGAGGGGCAGATGGAGGCAGGAGGGCAGGAAGAGAGTAAAAAAGCTCGAGAAAATCAGAAGCAGGCCGTGCAGGAGTGGGAAGAGCAGAGCTGTGGTGAGGGGCAGAGCCTCCTTGCTTCCTGAGCACGCGCCCAGCTTTTCTTCACTGAGTCTTCAGGGCAAACAGCAGCTGGACCCAGCCCCACTCCCTGCCAGTCAGGGCCAGGACACGTGTCCCCACCGCACACAGCAGTGCTGAGGATTCCATACCATGTGTGAATGATTAGCACAGTGTCTGGCACAAATAAGGTAAGAAGAACAAAGGGAATTTAGGTCCCCAATTCTTCCCACAAAGTCACAATGAAATTGTGATATACGATGTGCAGGTACAGGTGTGCACTTCTAAATACTTTGGTCTAATAAAAATCACTTTGAATTCTGTTTTACAAAGCGTTCTGCTCGAAGGACACTGAGCAGAAAAATGATGTGGGTGCTGCCCTCAGCGCATACGTGGGTTTTAACAGAGCGGTGCTGGGTCACATCACTGCAGATGGATTCTAGAAGTCTGCAGGTTTCTGAAGCCTCCACAAACAGAAAGTGACGAGTGCACAGACATCAGTGCTCTCCCAAGAGTGCCCAAGAATATGACCGGTTCTTTGGGGCTGGGTACAGATGGGAGGGTCTTAGAATTGGGGATGGGAAGAATAAAGCGTAGGTATGCAGAAGCCAATTCATGTCAGACCCACATTTAATGACAGAATAAAAACCCTCCAATGAACCATATAACTGCTCCTGGATGGTGGGCCTCCAATCCACAGTATGGATTCCACCAGGACGATAGTGTGTGTCTATGGTAACAGGTGTTAGCCACTGGGGAGATCTGAGCAGACATGGGGGGCCTGGGTATCCAAAAGGTATTTTGCAGAACACAAAAACACAGGGCTCTGGCTCTAAGGCTGGTGGCTCATTTATTCCAAACACATTCACAGCAGCCAACACACACATACATTCAACATACATATGTGTACACACACAGAAACCAAAGTTTCTTTTTTTTATACTTTCTCTCACTATACTCAACGCATTGATATTTTCTTTTCTTTTTTTTTTAATGCTTGTTGGTGACCTACTAAACTGATTTCATGACCTACTGTGTTTGGATAC